TTTGAATTTTGAATTTTGAATTTTGAATTTTGAATTTTGAAATTTGAATTTTGAAATTTGAATTTTGAATTTTGAATTTGAATTTGAATTTAAAATTTAAGTGTTTGAAAGTTTGAATTCAAATGTTTGAAATTCGAATTTGAATTGGCTATGAAAAGTTGTTTCATAACAAAAGGATAAGATGAGATCTTGTTGGAACATATCAGGAGGAGATCTTTTGGACATAATCCAAGGATAATGGGGTGCTGATTTTGGCTAGATTTGATCATCAAAATCAGTTCCAGAAGATACGATCTGTTGGGAGAATATTTGAGTGAGTTGATTTAAGTTTGAAATGCAACTAACTCAAATGTATCTGGTCATCTTTTAGGCTATATGGCGCGCACCATATAGCTGATTATATGATGATTCATGATCAGATTTCTGACTAGGTTTTGAACTTAGTCTCATGAGAATATTCTGGGATGTTGTTGGCAATTTTTGAAATGCAACATCTCCACTTATTCTCTCCCCAAGGGCGCCACTTTTGATAAGATTTTTGGGAGAAAAATTTGATTTGTATTTGAAACTTAAAAGGCTCCTCTTGTGTGCTTAAGTAGCAGTTAGTTCCTCCTTAGATTTTTGTGAAAAAGCCAAGCCTTTCTCTACTCATCTATGCGCCCCTTGTGAGTTTTTTTTCTCTTAGAACACTTCACTCTTCTAAACACTTTTACCTAGCCTCCTGCATCACACACTGAGCGCATAGCAAGCCTTATTGTGGTGATCAATCGGCGGCCTTACTGGAAGGAGTTCCTGTATCTAGACGCGGGTGGTGTGGATCAACGTTAGAGGGTCTGAACCCTTCAGACCTACGTTGATCATCTTGAGTTTTCACGAACAAGGTATGACATACGTCTTAAAGTATGTATCTTGATATGCATGTGTGTTCCGCTTGCGAAAAATTTTGTTTTTCCCTCACGCATGTTTCGGCCTTCAAGGCCAATTCTACTTTCATAGGGAATGCTTATTTCAGGTTCAGGTAGTATGGTGACTGATGCCTCTGGCGGCAGGAGGCCAGAGCTTAGCTATTATGATATTTATGCTGTATTGTTGACATGACTGGATTGGATGCTATTTATGTTTTCTGCTCTTTATGTTTTGAGTAGAGACTTATGTTGGGCTTTGTTGCCTTATTTGGGTGAGCATGGGAGTTGTCCATGCCACTATGTTGTTAGTACTTTTGAGTCGAGTTGTATAAACTGATAGTTGGTCTAGTCTACGTGTTGTAGTTCCGTGACTAGAGACATACATTATGCTATTTAATTAATGAGGTATTTCAGTTAGCTGTTTTATTGCAATTGCATACAGGCGATGTTTTATTAATTGATTAATAAGCAAGTTGATAATGATTAATGACATCATAATTGAAAAGAAAAAGATATTTCGCAATTTTAATTAAGCGCAACTTAATACGATAACATGATAACATTACCGGATATATACGGGGTGTTACAGGTTGACACGAAGTTAGCTACTTCGTCATCAAGTTATGCTGACGGGACATTTTGCGTCGCCACTACAAATCAGAGCCTAGCTTCATTATTACTGAAAATGGTGCATGTGAGGCGATGTGGCAGCCGTTCGCAGTCAGGAGTGATCGTCGGGCTTGTGACACGCCTAGCAATGCGGTAAAATCTCGGTGGCGGTTCATGGTATACAAGACTCACTTTACGGATCAAAAATTGAGGTTTCCGCTAACTGAGTTTGAGATGCGAGTACTATCCCACTTGCAAGTTGCACCTTCTCAACTGCATCCAAACGCTTGGGCGTTCGTTCGGGTCTTTGAGAGTATATGTCGGTATTTCGGATGGGAATACTCCGTACGGTTGTTCATTTATTGCTTCCAGGTGTCTCCTTCAAAGAAGAAACTTGGGTGGGTTTCGTTAAAGGCGGGTACCGCGCTAGGATCAATATTTTCCCAGTACGCCAACTCGTATAAGAATTGGAAACACACCTTTTTTCTGGATCGAACCCGTGTTGGGCGATGGGGAGCTTCCTTTCTTTGTTGATCCGGCGAGCAGAGAGTGTCGGTTTCCCCTGTACTGAACTAAAACCCATTACGAGACGCCCGCTGGTCAGTATTCTTCTACATTTGGAAGTTTGACTCCTAAGGAGGTAAGGGTGGTTGACTGGTTTGTGGAAGTAAAGGAAAGTCTGGGCCGGTGGTCTTCGAAGCAGGTGTTGTGCCATGGAGGTGTGGTGGGAGGCAAGAAAAAGAGCATGAATTCCGATTTGTACCTCTGTTGTGTGTCCAATCTGTTCCCAAACCGGCCAACGAGTATCATCCAAGAGGAGGCAGCTCCCTCCCATCCTCATTGTTCTTGCAAGTCACCACATTCTCTCTAAGTGGTTGAGAAAGACAGCCACTTAGTTCCCGAACATTATCTTTATCCTTCCCACATTTCCAAAGGCTTGAGCTTCCAACCGCATGCAGTGATGGAAGGCTCCATAACTACCGTGAGGAACCAAGAAGAAACACGAAGTCAGGGAGGGCATTTCATTCCCTTGATACTAACAGTTCAGCCAACTAAAGGAAGGAAGGAGAAACAACATCCTTAGGGGTTTTGGGCTTGCATGTCCCCAATTTTAGTTCAGAACACCCTGTGATGTTTCTTCTAACTTTTCTTCTAACGTCTTTCTTTACTAGGCGGTCTTTACTAACTTTTCCTTTACTGTTTGCAGTCGGGAGCATGGCGGCGGAGATGTTGAATCTTGCACGCGAGGCGACTGCGAGGCTGAAAGCCAGGCAGGGCGATGCTCAAACTCAGCCCAACCCTGCTCTAAAGAATACGGGCAAGGGAAAAGCTCAAGAAACTAGGATCAAGAGGACCAAAGTTTGTTCTGCTGCTGACATTCCTGCGGAAGAGCTGAAGAAGAGAGCCAATCACCCTATAATTAAAGAGCCTACGGGCGTGGTGGGTAACTCCTCAGCGAGCGAGTCGACGCTGGGATCCGGATCTCCTGTCCTGGGGGGGTCTGGTCTGAAACGGGGCGCTGATGCAAGTTTAACACCGCCTCGAGCTTCAAAGTCTGCATGCCACGAACCTTCAAAGGGTGGGCAATTTGGTGGTAGCACCTGCGAGTGTGACCAGGCGGGCAACCCCCCTTCGATCGAGGGTGACCAGGCTCGCATGACCTCGGGGGCTGAAGATTCCCCTCCTCCTGCAGTTGCTTTTCCTGTTGGCAGGGCCCTTACCTTGTCGGAAAGGGACCTTGTTAAAGGATTTCCTAACATTGGGCGTCCTAAGATGGTGGCCCCCCCACGCCTGGATCGTCAACAGTTTAAGGATTGCACCCAAGTGGTCGTTGGTCGCATCTTGGGAATGCAGGAGATCGCCCTTGCTGTCGATGAACGATGCTCCTTGCAGGAGGATCGCCTTGATGAGTTTGGGCAACAAGTGGAAGGTCTTACTGCTGAGGTTGGGCGCCTTGGTAAAAAGATCGCTGACAAGAAAACTTCTATCCAGTCGTTGTCTGAGCGGCTGAAGAAGGCAGATGGAGATGTCAAACGGCTGCCTGATGAGAAGGATGTCCTCAGTAAGTCACTAGAGGACATCAAGAAGGAGAAGGAAGTTATCCAGGTTGAGAAGGATTAGTTGTCTGCCAACTTGTTTGCTGCTCAGGGGAGTCTTCATGCTAAAGATGAGGACTTCAAAAAAGCCACAGGGCAAGTGGAAAAATTGGAGGAGGCTCTTGCTAACCTGATGTACCATTCTTTTAATAACGCCCTTTAACAAGTTTCCGTTAGGTATCCTGGCGTCGACTTGACTGGTTTCACTCCTGATTATGAGGTGGAGGATGGCAAGATTATCCAACGTCTTGAGGGTGACGCCATCAGGGTGGTCGAGGCGGCGCCTGAAACTGACGACGATGAAGGTGCGCGGGGAATGCTTCCAACCACTAATGCTAATAGTGATGATGATCACGAGGAGGGCGATACTGGGCGTGGCGGTCCGACTGAACCTGTTACTGAGACTTTGGTTGATCCTGGTATAGCAAGTGAAGGTGGTGTTACTGGGTCGGTCGTGTTGGAGCAGGCGGTGGATGCTCAAGCTGTTGAGAAGGGCGTTACCGATCAGGCGCAAGATGCTGAGACGATTACAGCAAATATACAGACTTAGGCTCCTAGTTTTTTCTTCGCTTTTTGTCCGTGGTTGGCATGTCATCCGCGGGCTTGTAGTTGACCTTTAAAAAAGTTAATGAATTTCCTTTCCTTCCCTGCTTTGGTCTTACTTTTTAAACATATTAATGACTTTCCTTTCGTAAGTTAACTAGGCGTTGGCTGGGGGTGAGAACCATCCCAGTCCAGCTATGGCAGGGGTGAGAACTATCCCAGTCCAACTGAGGTGGGGGTGAGAACCGTCCCGTTAGTTGGGCGTTGGCTGGGGGTGAGAACCATCCCAGTCCAACTGTGGCGGGGGTGAGAACCGTCCCGTTAGTTGAGCGTTGGCTGGGGGTGAGAACCATCTCAGTCCAACTGTGGCGGGGGTGAGAACCGTCCCGTTAGTTGATCAATTAACTTTGACAGAGAATTAGTGACCTGGCGATTGTTTTAATTTCGAGGGATGACCTTCTTGTTGTAATAAGTGGCTGATCTTTCTTTTGTCTGGCGATCATTTTGGGCGGCATACCCTCTTAGTTCGTCCAGCAAGTCCAGTGCTTCCTTCAAATGTTGGGTGTTGGCGACCTCAGTGACGTGTTCTCGTCGCCAGGAGGGTTCGCCTATTTCAACAGGGATCATGGCATCGGCACCATAGGTAAGCTTGAAAGGCGTTTCCCTGGTGGATGACTGGGCGGTTGTCCTATATCCCCACAGGACGTTGTCAAGGTTATCTAACCACGCTCCTTTGTGTGCTTCCAACCTCTTCTTGATTCTTTTTCCCAACATTTTGTTGGTCGACTCCACTAAACCGTTGGACTGAGGGTGTTCCACTGCGGCAAAATGGTGTCGGATCTGTAGGCTACTCAGACGTAATTGTGGCTAAGGGTTCCGCCTCTACCCATTTGGTAAAGTAGTCAATGGCGACAATCAACCATTGGACTCGTCCCGGCGCCATGGGGAAAGGACCCAAGATGTCAATTCCCCATTTGTAGAAAGGCCATGGCGAGGTGATTGACGTCAACTCTTCTGGTGGTGCTCTGTGTACATCAGCGAATCTCTGGCACTTTTCGCAGTTCTTGACGTGCTCATGGGCATCACGCTCCATGGTTTGCCAGTAAAACCCTGCTCTCAGTGCTTTCTTTACCAGCGAGTGACCTCCCATGTGATGGCCGTTAATTCCTTCATGGATTTCTTCTATCACGTATTGAACGTCATTGGGATTCAAACATTTTAGGAGTGGGGTTGAGAGTCCATGCTTGTATAACCGCCCTTGCACTAGGCCGAAATGCGCGCTTTGTCGCACTATTTTTTGAACTTCTTTCTCGTCACTGGGCAGAATTCCTTCGGCCAAGTAATTGATAATGGGCGTTGTACAGGTTTCTTTGGCGGCCTCATCTGGCGAATTTGAAATGCTCATCACGATGCATGGGCTTGGCATGTTATGCTGGATTACTGATCGGTTGTTCCCTGGGCTTTTTGTGCTTGCTAACTTGGCGAGAATATCCGCCCGGGTATTTTTTGCACGCCTGATATGCTCCACTTTCACGTCTTCGAAACTTCCAATCAATTCTTTGACCTTCTCTAGGTATCTGCACATTAACGGTCCTTTGGTTTGGTACTCGCTGGAGATCTGAAAGGTTACTAACTGGGAGTCACTGAAGACTTTGACACGTCTGGCACCCATTTCTTTTGCTTGGAGCAGGCCAGCTATCATGGCCTCATATTCAGCCTGGTTATTTGTGGCGTTGAATTCAAAAGACAAGGAATGTTCAACAGCCACGCCTTCCGGATTTTCTACTATCATTCTAGCGCCTGATCCTTTGGCGCTTGATGAGCCGTCGACATATAGTTTCCAAAATCCAGATGAAGGTGTTTCTGCTGACAGATTCTCAGAAGAAGGGCTTTGCGTCATTTCGGCGATGAAATCTGCTAGGGCTTGAGCCTTAATAGCGGTTCTTGGCTCGTAGACAATTTGGTATTCTGACAGTTCTATCGCCCAAGACATCATTCTTCCAGCTAGGTCTGGCTTATGCAAAACTTGGCGGATTGGCTGATTTGTCCTGACAGTGATTGGATGACACTAGAAATAGGGTCTTAACCGCCTTGCGGCAAAGATAAGTGTCAAGGCAACCTTTTCAACTTATTGGTACCTAAGCTCAGCTCCTTGTAAGACGTTGTTGATAAAGTAGACAGGCTTTTGTCTTTCTTTCGATTCTTTGACTAGGGTTGCATTGATCGCCTCAGTACCTACGGCGAGGTACAAATACAACATCTCTCCATGGTCTGGTTTGGCGAGTACTGGTTGGCAAGAGAGAGCCCTTTTGAACTCCTGGAAGGCGTTCTCACATTTTTCCGACCACCGGAAGGTGGTCCCTTTTTTAAGCAAACCAAAAAGAGGAAGAGATTTATGTTCTGAATTTGCCAGAAAACGGGTGAGAGCTACTAACCTTCCAGTCATTTGTTGAACCTCTTTGATTGTTTGCGGGCTTCGCATTTCAATGACTGGCTTGCATTTGTCTGGGTTAACCTCTATACCTCGCTCTGTAAGCATGAAGTCTAGGAATTTGCCTGCAGGAACACCGAAAGCGCACTTGCTGGGGTTAAGGCGCATGTTAAACTTTCTCAACCTTCCGAAGACGCCTTGGAGATTTTACAAGTGTTGGTCAAGCGTTCTTGATTTGGCGATCATGTCGTCAATATAGACTTCTATGCAATTACCGATCAGATCTCTGAAAACTTCGTTCATCATCCTTTGATACGTGGCGCCCGCGTTCTTCAATCTGAAAGGCATCATCATATAACAGTAGTTGGCGTTCTGGGTGATGAGCGCCGTTTTGTCTTGGTCTTCCTCCAGTAACGGAATTTGATTATAGCCAGAATATGCGTCCATGAAAGATAGCATTTTGAAACCTGATGCATTATCGACCAACTGGTCGATGCTAGGGAAATGATAGGCATCTTTAGGGCAGACCTTGTTGAGGTCGGTGTAGTCGACGCACATTCTCCACGCGCCACTCAGCTTTTTTACTAATACTTGATTGGACAACCAAGTTGTGTACTTGATTTCCCTGATGAACCTGGCGTCATGGAGTCTCTTAACTTCCTCATCAATGACTTTCTGGCGATCAAAGCCAAACTTTCTCTTCTTCTGTGAAACTGGCTTTGCTTTAGGATCCACCGACAAACGGTGGTAGCATACTTTGGGGTCAATACCTGGCATATCCAACGGTTTCCAATGCTCCATCTGGCGTGGGCCTGGCATGCTCCACTCTTGGGTCGTCTCTGGCGTCGAATTCTACCAAGAAGCACTGGTTGTTTTCTTTCCCCATCTTGCCGGGACTTTTTTCTGCAGGCGGGGTTGGCTTCTGTTGGGGTGCCATCTCTCCTTTGAAGGTAACTTTGGTCATTGGTCTCAAGGATATGTTGTAGCAGCTCCGACTACTATTTGATCTCCTCGCACTGTGGCGACTTTATTATCTCTTGCTATGAACTTCATCACCAAATGAGGGTGTGAGACGCTCGCCTCAAAGGCGGCGAACATCCTTCTGCCAAGAATGGCGTTGTAAGCTGATGGCGTGTCGAGCACCAGGAACTGGATGTCTGCAGACCGCGACGCTGGCGGCGTTCCAAGGGAGAGTCGTAAGTTTATCACTCCCAGTGGCTTGGTTGTGGTAGCATTGAAACCTGAGAGTTCACCTGCGACAGGAGTTAAATCATTAACCGTAAATCCTAACGCCTTAAAACATGGTAAGAATAAGATATCGGCGGAACTTCCGTGATCAACAAATACGAAGTTAATGCCAAAGTTGGCAATTATTGCTTGAATGACGAGCGGGTCGTCATGTCCTGGGAGAACGTCGCCCAAATCGCTGCTATCCCAAACGATGTTGGGCCTGGCTGTACCATGCTCGTCTTTTACTTTGCTGATCACTTTGCCTGCAACCGCCAAGCATTGTTTTAAGTGCTTCTTTCTGGCGTTCGACGTTTCTCCTCCTCCGCTCAATCCGCCAGAGATCATGTTGATCACTCCATGTTTGATGACAGCAGAGTCTTCTTCTTCTTCCTCGCGCCTTCCTCCGCAGCTTGGGCTTGCTTGGGCTCTGGCTCTTTGTGGCGAATCTTTTCTGTTGTCTCGTTCGCGGTGAGATCGAGTGTTGGACTGACTGGTCCTCCTCCTATCTGGGGAATTGCTACGATCACGGTGTCTCCTTCCATTTCCTGAAGAACGTGCACTATCTCCTCCACGCCTTTGAGTACTACCTTTGATGAGTTCGTCAATCTCATCCTTGAGGCGCCTGCATTCCTCCGTGCTGTGACCGTTGCTGCGGTGAAATTTGCAATATGATGCGGCTTCTCGGGTTGGCTGCGGGGGCCGTTGGTTACTCTTGGGTTCCTCTTTGTATTCGATTTGTAGGACACTGTGTGACCGGCGTTCTGAAGGGCGAGTGGAACGAGTGGATGTTTGGTAACCCTTTCTACTTTCATCAGTGTGGTTCTTTCCCTTACTGACCGTCCTTTCTTGATTGTGGGAGTCACCAGCTCGGCTCCCTTTGTATTCTTCAATTCTCATGAATTCTTGTGCTTTTTCCCTGACTTCTTCTAAGTCAGTAATCTCATGACGAGCAAGTTCAGACGCGAACTCTCCTTGTCGTAAGCCTGACAGGAGTATATGTACCTGCACCTTTGGGTCTAGGCCTTGCACTTGTAGGGCCTCTTTATCAAAACGGTCAAGAAAGGATCTAAGGGACTCGCCCGATTGTTGTCGAATCTTCTCAAGGGAATGGACGGACTTTGGCACATGGCGGCTAGTTACAAAATGGGACTGGAACTTGCTTGCTAGATCATCCCAGGACGCGATGCTGCCAGTTGGTAGGGTGGTGTACCATGTCAGCGCTCTCCCTCCCAAAAGTGTTGGGAAAGTCCTGCACATGAGAAGGTCTGTTTCGCCTTGGAGTGTCATAGCTTCTTCGAATTTCTGGATCCACTCAAAAGGATCGGCGTCGCCAACATACGTGGCGATGTTAGAAGGGCCCTTGAATCCGAGGGGTATGGGGGTCAGCCTCAAACTGTCAGTCAAATGTTTGTTACGCCCTAACGTGTGAGCAGGCGTTAGCCTGATATTGGGAATGTGTACATGTTGGTCTGGTTGTGGATGAGGCATTTGCGGGGCTTCTACCGAGTATGAGAGGGCTGGGGCTTGGTGAAAAGCTTGTTGAGCGCCAAAAGGTTGCCGATCAGGATTCAGACAAGATGCCTAAGGTTGAGGAACGGCTATATTATGGGGTTGCATGGCGTATCCATAGAATGGGAAGCCAGTCTGGTAGGGTTGTTGGAATGGGGCAGCCATGTTATGCGTGTATGGTCTAGGGGGTATGAGACGACCACAGGAACTCTATGGTCGTTGTACATTGCTACGGGCTGACTTTTGGCCGGTAGTGGATGGTGGGCGAGGTGGACAGCTTGTGGAGCAGCTGTGGGAAATGGCATTCCGAAATGAGCCCCTGGGGGTGGTGGTTGGTTCTGGACCAAGTTTTCCCCCCGCATTTCACGCATGGCTACACGATGATTCTGCTGGGCTATCCTAACACCAGACGTTGGCAACCGCGGACCGACGAACTGTAGCACATGAGGAAGGGCCTCTCCCGCGGCCGAAATGAACCCTTGGGGTGGTGGTTGGTTCTGGACCAAGTTTTCCCCCTGCATTTCACGCATGGCTACACGATGATTCTGCTGGGCTATCCTAGCGCCAGATGTTGGCAACTGCGGACCGACAGACTGTAGCACATGAGGAAAGGCCTCTCACGCGGCTCGCTCAGCTGGAGCTGAATGCATGGATGGCAGGGAGTTTGAGTGTACTGTTTGTACGTGGCCTTCTGGCGTCGTTGCCCTGGCTTGTTCTGCTCTCCTGGTGGTGACAACCATGTTCAGTTGCAAAAGGCGTCCGGCGGTTGTTTGGTAGTAAAATGGAAAAAATTCGTCAGATGGATCGTTGGTAAGAGAATGGGAATAGAAGTTTATAGTTTTCCACAGACGGCGCCAATGTACCGTTGGGATCTATAAGCCTACTATGTTCCCTTTAGGGATGAGTCACTGTATGGGAGATACCCTTAGCTTAGGTACAGACCAGGCTAAGAGGTATTATGCCAAGCAATAGCAAGATAATCAGCAATAGGTAAGTGGAGATGACAATATGACTCAAAGTAAATGGGCAGTATAACGATACATAAGATAGCTCTTAAGCTGTGCCCATGAGGGCTATTTATAAGGAAGATTTGTGGGTTGGTGAGGAGGGGGTCAACCCTCCTTGGGATATACTCCCATGATGGCAGTGTTGGGCGTGGTTGGCGCTGCCATTGTGGCAGCGCTGCGCCTTCTGCATCTGGCGTTGTCAGCACTGGGCAAAGGGGCAGTTTCCCTTTGTGGTGCCTGTGGAGGTTTCCTTTGGTGGTTAGCGTCCCAAGATGGGACATTTCGGTGTATCCCTTGGACGTGCTGCAAGGTTGAAGGATGTGAGGGTCCACGTCAGCCCTTAGGGCTGACGCGGGTTGGGGCTAAGGATTAAGCCTGAACAGCTGGGTCGCTTCAGCGTTTGGGCCATCCGGAAAAGGTCCCACAAATGTGACATATGTCATCATCATATGATTGAGATGTGTCATATTTATGTTGGAAATCATTAGAAAATTTATCGCAAGTCTCACAACACCAGCAAGCAGTTCTTTCGGTTCTTTTCCTTTTGCATGCCATTATTATTGTTTTCACTCTTTCCTTTTGTCACTTTGGTCATAGGGGACAAATCTATGAATCAAATTTGTAATTTGTGTAAAACAGCGCATTGATTAAGCTAATTTGCAAATAATAAATGCATCTAAAAGTAATATGATTGGGTAATTGTGTGACACATTTTTTTAAGGGTGTGCATGACAATCATTTTGTTTCCTGACACTGATTTTTAAAAGAAACAATTCTTTTATATTTTTGTCTTAGAACAATTTTCGAGAAAAAAAAATATATTTAATAACTTGTTCTATTTTTATTCTGATAATGAAAATTGCGTTTGATAACACAACAAATAATATAATAAAAAATATTTTCTATTAAGCATGAAATTTTTTTGGATCATCACTTTCCTTTCCATATGATGTGGTAGTGGCGGTGGCGTGATGGTGATAATGGTGGTGATGATGACATGGTGGTGGTGGTGACGACAATGACTGCAATGATTGTGGTGATAGTTGGTGGCATTGGTGGTAGCGGTGGCGGTGGTGGTGGCATGGCGTGGTGATGGCGATGGTGGCTATGGTGGTGATGATGATGGTGACAGTGATGGTAGCGGTGGTGGTGGTGGTGACGGTGGCATGGTGGTAGTGATGGTGGAAATGTGTGGAGGTCGTAGTGATGGTGGCGGTGACATCGTGGTGGTGGTGGTGGTGACAAGAGCAGTGACGATGGTGGCAGTGGTCGTGTCAGGATGATGATGGTGGTGATGATGGTAGTGGTGAAGTGTGATTGAGAGAGATAAGTGTTTTTCATTTTATGCCTGAGAATAAAAATTAGAATTTTCTTATTCTTTTTTTTTATTCCTCAGCACAAAAATTAAACCGGTTCATCTCGGGAATAAAAAAATAAATCGATTTTACCAAACAAGTTTTCTATCCATTTACATTCTCTGTAATAAAAATTAAAAAATAATAACCATTTTCGGAAAGTTGTGCACATCCTTAGTACAAATTGGGTGACACATTTTGGTACACGAGAATATGTTAAAGTTTTGACTTGTACTTGTCTCGGTCCTTGCTACAAAGTGTGATGGTTGAAAGAAAATGGCTTTGAAGGCCGTAGGCATGTGAGGATGAAAACAAAATTTTTCAAGAGCGGAAACACACATGCAAATAAAGATACGTACTCTAGGACGTGATGATACCTTTGTTCGTGATTCAAAACTCCAAGATGATCAGTGTTAGATTTGAATGTTCAAACCCTCTAACGTTGATCCACACCACCTTACGTCAAGATGCAAAAACCCTTCTTGAAAAGCCACCAAACGAACACCACAAGGAAGGAACTTTAGGTGTCCTAATAGGAGAAGAATGAGGCAAGGTTAATGTGTTTAAATGAGTGAATTTTCAGCATGAAAAATCACAAAAGTGGCGCATGGAACACTATGAGAAAAGGCTAGGTAATTTTCAAAAAACCCTAAAGAGAACCTCACAAAAGGAAGCACACTTGGAGATGAGAGAATGATTGAATTGAATCAGATTTTTCTCCCAAAAGTCTGACCTATGTAGCGCTAAATGGTGGAGGAATAAGTGGAGTTGTTGCAATTCAAATCTAGCCAACAACCTCCTATCATATCCTCATGAGACTAAGTATATACCTAGTCAAAAATCTGACTTAATAACCATCATATGGCCAGCTATATGGTGCGCCCTTATTCAGCCCAAAAAGAGTCCAAATACATTGAGTAGTTGCATTCAAATTTGAACCAACTCACTCACTTATTCTCTGAACCAACCAAATCTGATTGGAGCCTATTTGGTTGATCATATGACCATCATAAGACCCCAAAATCAGCGCCCCAAATCAGCCTTGGATGATGCCCAAAGATCTCCTCTTGATACTTGGGATTTGTTCCAACAAGATCTTATCTTATCCTTTTGTTATGAAACAACTTTTCATAGCCAATTCAAATTTGAATTCATACATTTAAATTCAAACGTTCAAACATTTAAATTCAAAATTCAAATTCAAAATTTAAATTCTAAATTTAAATATTTGATAATTAATTTAACTAATTAAATTAATTAATAATGTCTTGGACTATCCAAGCCCATTACATGTACCATGTGCCCTTTCCCTCTTAGGTGGGCTTCCAAACTTCTTCTTGGGCTAACAACCTTTATTAGGCCCAATACCTTTAATGCTATATTCATCAAGACAATAAGGTGTTAGTGTGTGACCCATTAGGCCCAACATAGCCACTTACATAAATGAGCTTGGGCCCAACAAGCCCACAACCCATTTAATGAAAACACAGAGCACTAGCAATGCTTTGTTGCCCCAGAGCTAGTTAGGTTAATGACATGATCATCCTATTACATATATTTGGTTACCGTATGTATTTCCTTTCGTCTCGGTTACCTTCCCTTTAAACCTAGGGTGAGGAAATATATCATCCCTTGCGGTTTAGGGTAAGCTTTAATTCGAAATAGGGAATCTTCAATTTACTGACTCTAAAGGCAGATCATCTAATGATCTCTTTTACTATGCATAGATTCTCGAGTCCTGTAAATGTCATCTCGATTTCTCCGGTTTACAGATAACCTAATCCCTTACAGAGATTTGACGAATTCCTTTAGCTTATCACCCTAGGCCTGTGCTATTTCAGGACATGCTCAAAAGTATACCTGTGAGTCTCCATGTTTCAGGCAGACGAGGTATACAATCAAAACATGTCTTCTAGAACACAGTCTAGGTGACAACTTATGGTCTAAGGAAAGACATACCCAAATATTAAGATACTGCTCTAATGATACTTTTGTAAGATTTCCTCATAGAGTCTCTTTGTGGGTCTGTTCAGTGCAAGCTATACCCTTATAGGGCCACCCACGACTTTAGCTACGACATCTCCATATCTGTAGCTCATGATGTCTTTACCTTGTATCCGAATACAAGTAGATAAGTCGTGCTAGTCTTACCCGAGATTACTAATTCTCAGTGTCTCTGGACTAGGAACATAAAATTAGGAATAAATATCTGGTATCCTTAAATCCTCATGATCGTGATCTTATCACAGATACTCAAGAGATACCTATTTTATTCCAAGGGGTTTATCCAGTTACTCATAGAATATATTAACAATAATATTAAGACAAAATACGAAACAGGATAAAGAGAAATGCACGACTTAAATACGTCTATTGCCTACATTCAGTGCAAGTCACTACTTACACCCACCCACAGAATCACCCTATGGCATGTCTCATACATACACAGGCTTACCGTCTAGGTTGAACAACACATGCATATTATAAGCAGTTGCACAATAATAGCTCAACAGTATCTCAAAATCAGTACATGAAAACACATTATGCATATAAATCATCCCCCTATGGGGTATGGTGGAACCAACAATGGTTAAACCGAGGACACGAAAGCGTACCTTGCAAGCTAACTATCCAAACAAGTGTCCAACCAGCTCAAAGTCCACAAACAACAGAATCACAATCTGTTTTAGACCAGCAATCATATCAACAATCATACTTTACAAGCATATAACATAAGACAACGCTTTCCTTTACGTTTCATGTCTTTAGGCTTCTCACAAAGCCATAAGCCCTTAATCACTTAGATTCTGACTTAGATAATCATTACAGAAGTTCAACACACACTTGAAGCTCACCAATCAGCTCCAAAGGTTCTGACTTTGAAGGTGCACGAAAATGGCACACCACAATGGTCCTTTCTCTTCAAAGTTGGCTTCTTGAAGCCACATAAGCAAGGAAAAATGGCCTCATAACACTCAACCATGTGGCATGCCCCAAACTCAGAAAACACAACCTACTCACACCCTCAAGACTTCCTCTTCCTCCCACACAATGCTTGATCACACTTAGTTATGGAGTTTTGGTGAAGAAAGTATGAAGAAGTGCTACTTGGAAGGTCAAGAAATGGTGGAGAAGGATAGGGCAGCAGGTCACACTCAGAACCCACGTAGAGAGGCTGATGATGGCCTAGGGTTGTGTGCAAAAAGAGTATATATATAGTCGGTTTAAGTTTAAGCACACTGTATTAACACTAATAGCTACGCTTAGTATTTTAATCTCAAACTTAGGATTCTGAACCTAGCTATTTTTCTAGGATTTGTCATATTTTTATTTTATTTTTCGCAGCACTTTTTCAGTACGCACTTTTACATAGCCAGTATCAGTTCTGACACCAGTTCTCATTATTTTGACTTGAAACTCGTTATGATAGTCCTATATATTTTTCTAGTGACATATACATACTTTTCATAATTTTGTGGGATACTTCATCGGTACGCATTTATACCGTGAGGGAGAACCAGTATCTGCACTTTTCGTCAGAAAAGCGACTTTCAACAATATAAAGCACTTACCATAATTATTTAAGCCTTATCATAACTATTAGGGTCAATTATGGAATTATTTCATTAATCTCATAATTACTTAATTAAATTCCTAAAATGGAGCCGTATTGTTTTTATTGACCCGTTGAGGGGATTGCTGTCCATGTGGGACTTGCAAGCTATTTGTTTAATTTATTGTATCTATCAGGTGTGTATGTGTGGGAATAAGTTCCCAGTTATCCAAAACACAGCCGTTATGCTGTCTGTGAGACTCCGTCAGGAATGACACTTGAAGTCATATTCTGATGATCAACGGCCACTAGTGATGGCCAATGGTTTTAATTAGTAGACTTAGACGATAACGTTACGCTAATGCAATATATCAGATGAACGCTTTGCAAATGTTTTAGAAATATTTTGGAAAAAGTTTACTCGTATTTTTGTAAGACGTTTTATTATTCTTTTAAAATAAAGTCTTCCGCTGTGTATGCTAAATATATTGTATGTTAACAACCGGAGTACTACAGGGTGTTACATTTATGGTATCGGAGCAGTTTCACCAGGACGTTCACTGATTTATTGCTTAAGTGTTAACTAGCTATAGAGTGTTTCTTTGAGTGCTTTTATAATGCACATGTCATCTCCTGTATGAGCGTAGCTAACTCATTCCGGGTGTAGTTATGTGTAGTAATCATGGCTCCTCAAAGAAGAACCCGTAGGGTAGTGGAGGATCCATCACCGGATCCCGTAGAAGCTGCTCTAGCAGCTCTTCAGCAAACCTTGAATACTGCCAGGAAGCTGATCCACAGAGGTTGGCTGAGGCCATAAAGAGAGAGAAAGAGTACATGAGGAAGACCAGTGAGGATCTTATGGCTCAGAACAGATTGGCGAACGTGGAGATGATGAGACTATTATTGGCTGAGGTTCGAGCAGGACCTCCACCACCTCCACTACCTCCACCACCACCATCACCACTATAGGACATACAAGAGTATTATAGGACCTGAGGCAAGGATACTATAGGTAAGATTCTCCATGGGAAGACTACTCCCTGGAACGGGAAGAGCAAGGGCTTACAAGTGAAGCAGAACGGAAACAAGTCTAAAAGAAATGAGAACTTTAAGAAGGAAAATGGAAGAGATGAGAATGGGAATACTCCTACTTGTGCTAAGTACGGGAGGCCTCATTATGGTGTCTGCCGGATTGGGCAGAATGTATGCTACAATTATGGTCAAGCAACACATTTTGCTAAAGAGTGCCCCAGGAAAAGGGGACAGGTTGCGACTATTCAGGTTGTTCCTATGCATGCTGTTCTGACTTGCACTACTATTTAGGAGCATCTAGTACCTTCAGTTGCACGAGTTTATGATGTCACCCAGCAGGAAGCGGAGACGTCTCCAAATCTGATCCGAGGTACCATTTCGATGGATGGCCATGATTTTGATGCATTATTTGACTCAGGAGCGACCCACTCCTTTATTTTGGGTTTTATTGCAAATGGTTTGAACTTGCCTATGTATGCATTTACGCCTCCTATGGTAGTGAAGACTGCCACCAGAGACTTGGTTTCCATTTCTTTGATGTGTAAGGAAGTCAAGTTTAGTTATAAAGAGAAGGAGTATGTGGTTGATCTGATTGTGCTTGAGGGTATGAATCTGCACATCATTCTAGGCATTGATTGGCTAGTCAGACATGGAGTTATGATTGATTGTTGTAGCAGAAAGAATTATTTCTCTGCTAAGAATAAGAAGAAGAACTCCCCATATTTATCAGTGTTGTAAGGAGGATTGGTTGGTGTCTCTAAGGAGCCAAATTCTAGTATACCGATTGTATGTGACTTTGAGGATGTATTTCCAAAAGAGATCCCACAGTTTCCACCAGAAAGGAAGATTGAATTCTCCATTGACTTAGTGCCTGGTGTGGGGCTTATCTCTTTGGCTTCATACCGGATGTCACCTGTAGAGCTTGCAGAGTTGAAGAAGCAAATTGAAGATCTGTCCAACAAGAATTTCATTAGACGGAGTGTATCTCCTTGGGGAACATCAATTATCTTTTTAAAGAAGAAGGATGAAACTATGAGGTTGTGCATGGATTACCGGTAATTGAACAAGGTGACTGTGAAGAACAAGTACTTTTTACCTCGCATTGATGATTTGCTAGACCAGCTTAAAGGTGCTTCATTATTTTTGAAGATTGATCTTGGTTCCAGATATCATCAGATCCAAGTAAAAGCAGAAGATATTCCAAAGACGGCTTCTGATATAGATATGAGCACTATAAGTATCTAGTGATTCCATTTGGGCTTACAAATGTCCCAGCGGTATTCATGAGTATGAACCGAATCTTCAAACCTTACTTAAATAAAAAAAATTGGTCTTCATTGATGATGTTATGATCTACTCCAAGAACAAAGAAGAGCATGTAGAGCATTTGAAGATAGTCTTACAGATTTTGAGGGAGGATCAGTTATATGCAAAACCTTCCAAGTGTGAATTCTGGTTGCATGAGATCCAGTTTCTTCGACACCTCATTTCATCTGCAGGAGGGCTGTTGATCCGAGTAAAATTGAAGTTGTGCTGGATTAGGAGAGACCAAAGAGTGTTAATGAAATCTGGAGTTTTCTAGGTTTAGCCGGATACTACAGGTGGTTTATTAATGGATTCTCCAGAATTGCCTTGCCATTGACTAGGTTGACCCGAAAGGGGATGCCATTTGCATGGACCCTTACGTGTGATGTGAGTTTTCCAGAATTGAAAGATAAGTTGACTACCGCACCGGTTTTGATTCTTCCTGACCCGAAAAAGAGATTTGAGATCTATTGTGATGCATCTAAGTATGGATTAGGGTGCGTGTTGATGCAGGAGCGAAAGGTAGTGGCCTATGCTTCTAGACAGTTGAGACCACATGAGGAGAACTACCATACTTATGATATTGAGTTAGCGGCTGTGGTTTTTACCTTGAAGATATGGGGGCACTTCTTGTATGGTGCTACTTTCACAGTTTATATTGACCACAAAAGCTTGAAGTACTTGTTCTATCAAAAAGAGCTTAATATGAGGCAAAGGAGATGGATGAAATTTCTGAAGGATTATGAGTTTGACCTTCAGTATCACCCTGGAAAGGTCAATGTGGTGGCTGATGCTTTGAGAAGGAAGACTACGAGTGTGGCTAGCATGATGATTGCAGAGTATGAATTGATTGAGAAGTTCAGAGATTTGAGAATTTCTGTGACACCACTTGAGACTTCATATTTCATGGCTACAGTTGAAGTCCGAAATTCATTAATGGAGAGAGTTAAAGCAATCCAAGTGCTTGACGAAGGGATTCAAATTACAAAAGGGAAAGATTTTGTGTTTACCGATGCTTCTAATGTGAAATACTACAAAGATCGGTTAATTGTTCCAAATGGGCCAATGGTAGAAGAAATGTTAACAAAGGGCCATATGGGTAAGTACACCATTCACCCAGGTGCAACCAAGATGTATTAAGATTTGAAACGGAATTTTTGGTGGTCTGGGATGAAGAAAGATATAGCCCAATTTGTGAATAAGTGTCTTATTTGTCAGAAGGTGAAAATTGAGCATCAGAAGCCTTCTGGTTTGTTACAGCCATTAGATATTCTGGAGTGGAAGTGGACGAGTATATCCATGAACTTCGTTGTTGGATTACCGAGAAGTCAGGCTGGATTTGATTCCATATGGGTTGTGGTTGATAGATTGACTAAATCTGCCCACTTTATTCCAGTCAAGAAAACTTTCTCCACAGACAGATGGTCAGACAGAGAGAACCATTCAGACACTAGAGGACATGCTGAGAGCATGTGTGCTTGAGCAGGGTAATGCTTGGGACAAGTACCTGCCACTGGTTGAGTTCTCTTACAACAACAGTTATCATGCCAGTTTGGGCATGGCTCCTTATGAGGCCTGTATGGTCGTAGGTGTAGAGCACCTACTTGTTGGAAGGAGATTGCAGAATGACAGCAATTGGGGCCAGACTTGGTCCAAGAGACTATAGAGCAGATTGAGATGATCAGAGATAGGCTGAAGAAAGCCCAGAGTCGTTAGAAGAGTTACTATGATGCCAAGCACAGACCCATTGAGTTCTCTGAAAGAGATCATGTATTCATCCGATTATCACCCACCACAGGTGTTGGTCGTGCCTTGGGAGTGAGGAAGTTGAGTCCACGGTTCATTGGGCCCTACCAGATAATAGGAGGGTCGGACCGGTGGCGTATCAACTTGCTCTACCTCCCAACTTGGCGAATCTACATGACGTCTTCCATGTGAGTCAGCTCCGCAGAGATATATATGATGATTCACACATTGTACAGCCTAATGACATAGAGGTTAAGAACGATTTGAAGTTCGTTGTTGGACCTTCTAAGGTTCTTGCTCGGGATGAGAAACGGCTTCGAAATAGAGTTATTCCCATGATAAAGATTCAATGGGAAGGATTGACACCTGAGGATGCCACATGGGAGCAGGAGGATGATATTCTCTGGCGATATCCCGACTTTGGTATCAGGTATGTTCTGATTTTGAGGACAAAATCTTTTTAAAAGGTGTGGTGAATATAATAACCCTAATTACATGACTTTTAAATTATAGGGTTATAATGAGGACCTTATGGTCATAAATAGAATGAGAATGAAATTCTAAGAATTTTGATACCCATATTGAGGGTATTTTGCACAGGTGAATTTTCATCTGTTAATTTTGACTGTTGACGCAGTAACAGTCAGTAGAAAACCTCCAAGTTAGCAAATTATAGTTAGAGAGCTAATCTAATGATATAAACATCATTAATGAGATTAGGATATGATTTGTTGAAGACTGATACCCATATTGGGGTATTTTTGAAAAGTCACTTCTGCCAGGTATTTTGTATTGCTGTAGAAGCAGCCGGTAGAATCCCGGAACGAGAAAAAGATGAGAAAATGGAAATAAAGACCAATATATGTCTAACAAGTCATAATTAGACCAATAATGTTAAAGTTAAGAAGATTATGAAATCCGGGTACAGTTAAGAACACTGGTAAAGACTATAGTGCAATTAAACAACTGTTAGTGGATCTATGATCGACTAATCAAATTTTTAAGTTATGAATATGATAATTAGACAAAATTAATGTTACTTACTGAAATTTAGAGTCTCGTGTGTTTCCGACTAGAAATTTGATAACCGTTCAGAGAAAAATTACACCGGGTGTCACTAAATGACAGAAAGTCACTTAATGACATGGCAAAAACCCTAAAAACATAAGGAGACCCTTCCCTTTCCCTTCCCATCAGCAGCCCACTTCACTCTCTCTCTACCTTGGAGGTTTTCAAATTTTCTCCACCTTCTCTCTAAGATTCCACCACCTAAACTTCATCAAAATCCAAAACACTCTTCACCAAAGTTGTTCCCCTCATCATCCTCTTCAAGACTATCCTATTTTTATTTTGAAAAGCCAAATTTTGATGGTGGAAACCTTCCCATACAGCAGCGGTTTTGGAGCTTTTTCATGCCATGGAGATGTTATTTTGAGTTCTCTTGGAAGAACACTCCTTGGTGCTTGTTTCCTTGAGTTTTAGTGTAAGTCTCTTGAATATTTTCCTTGAAAATCCCACCTTTGAGTTGTGTTCTTGAATTTTAACTTTGAGTCTTTGTTAAAGGTGGGTTCTTGGTGGAAAGGATGCATCTTTGTTCGAGAAAAGTGGAAGCTTGAAGCCTTGGAGCTAACTTGAAGAAGTAAGCATGGTTACTTGGAAAATGGTGACCAAAACTCTCACACACCCACCTATATGATTTGGCCAACATGCTTTCTTTATGGGATTGATGTTGTAATTTGATAAAAATGAGTTCTTGATGTTGGAAAGTGTGGAGAATCATGAGTTGAACCAAGGATAATGTTAAAATGCAACCTTTAAGCTTAAGAACACTAATATTGCTTAAGGATGGAATTTAAACCCTAATGACACTATCATATCAAATCTCCCCCCTTAAGTATATAAGGGTTTAGTTGTGTTAAAAATAAGAAAATGATGAATTAGTGGATTAATTAATGGCAGGGATTAATTAGCTAAAGAAAGGATTAAGAAATAAGCTTAAAAACCCCAATTAGCACACTAATAATTTGGCCATGTATGCTTAAGATAGGGTCACTATGTTAAAATTAATATTAAGACCTAATTAGGACATTAATTTAGTGGTTAAATGAAGTGGATTATGCATAATACACTAATTAATGATTAAACTCTAAAATTAGACTTATGTAGGGTTTAGGTGCACTAATCAAGCAATTAGTGAACTTTAAATATCATGACATAATGTGACTAAGGGGATTTCATAAAGTGACTTAATAATAGAAAAATCCAAAAATTAAAGTGAATTAGGATTTATAATCAAAACTAATTAAGGTTTGTTAAGTAAACACATTTAGGGCTAAATAACCAGTTTTTAGGCGAAATTGAGGAGAGCATATCTCCCTTCACAGAGGTCATATAGGGTTGTGCCTTATATCATTTTGAAGCTTGAGATGGTAGCTACATGTTGTCAAAATTTGGTACCAATTGAAGATGCATATCATTCTGTAAGTTTGCTTGTGTGAGGACTGCCCTGGGAGGCCATGTGCAGGGGCTGTACATGGCTAGAACTTTCACGAATTGTTTCTCCCTCTGTTCTTACTCAAATTAAGCTCATAATGTGTCAAATTAAATATAAAGTTGTCTAGTTGTCTGCATCAAACTTTGAGACAAATTGGTGTAGTATAGTTTGCAGAATCGCAGAAATGGTAAAGGATGTTTAGGGCTCTGTTCGGAGGTGGCAAAGAGCTTTGCTTGTCCAACTTCAAATGGTGATAGCCGGAGCTAGAAAACTCCATATGAGGCATGTGATACCTTGTTGGAAATTTAATTGAGTCTAGATTAACATACTAAAAGATGAGAATTTTATAACATGTGAGTTGCACTCAGTGACTAGAAAACAGAAGCACGTACAGTTATAGAAAAACCGTAAAAATGATATTTAAGCTAAGTGGGCTTATGGGAACCCTTAGTAACTTATAATAATCGTATATATGTCTTGGATGAGTTGAAAATAATCTAAGTTACCTAAGTGAGCCTTGCATGCGATTCTAAGCTATGTAAGTAATTGAAGATTTAGGTGGCTTGTAATATTGCACTAAAATACGTAATTATGTAATAATTGGTCTAGACTTGTAATGGGCATATTATTGGCATATGAGTATGAAAAGTGGAATCATTAAATGATTATTTCGTGGATATGACTTGATTAATTAATATGTAAGTAATGATGTGAATGGTTCCTACTCTAGGTGTGCCTAGAGAACCATGCACTTGAGGATTTTGTTGGAGCATACGTATTATATTGGAATGTGGGCTTGTGCTAAGCTCCCTGAGGTAAGCTCCTAGTTCTAGTTGACTCCTCTCTCTTGTGTCCCCACCATGATGGTGGGAATTATGGTTGTATTGTTTGAGAGTATATGGTATGATGTATATGTGCATTCATTCACATTCATATAGATGTTATATGATCTTGATGTTATGATGATTGTTGGACGTTTAGCAAGTGCACTAGTCGTACAAGTAATAAAATGACGAGTAAAGATCGTTCCCACGAGGAATTGTGTTCAAACACCAATATACCATAGAAAACTAATTTGAATCAAATAAGAGTTTGTAAAAATCATGAATAATTTGTCACCAGAAAATTGATTTTGAGTAAATTGACACAAAGTAAATATGGATTAGGAATTAATAAAAACAACAAGTAGTCAGAAAACAACTTCCCTCCATGATAACTCATATAAAAATTGATCATATGATGAATTCCTTTCCATGTGATGTTAATCAACCTTTTACTTATCATCAAGATGTAATCCCTTACTACCTTGATAGAAACATTAATCAGAAACCCCAATCCCTTGGTGATTTCTTTCTTAATACATGCATGAAATACTAAGGTTTTAAGATTACATCAGAACTCTAGCATCAATCCCTTGAGTACTAGAATTCTGATGTTGAGATTATCAAATACAGAAGTCATATAAACATCCCTGTTCTATACTACTTCTTTGATAGAAATAATTAACTCAGAAAATCTCAAATCAGCACATGGAAAATACTTCATCATATTAATCAAATCAACATATTATTATCATGGAGTTCCATTGCATTCAGACTACAAAGACTCTACTCAGACATAACTAAGGAATAAATAAGAGAAGAAGAATCAAACTTCATTTTCATGTTGAAAGTCTTCAATCTCCAACTATTACAAGGAAATCCTAATACAAAAACTAAGAGAATTTAGAGAGAAGTCAGACTGAGTTTTAGAGAGAGAGAGAGTTCAGATCCCCCAAGATCTTTCTCTAAGTGTCAAGGTTTTGCCTTATATAGTGTTACAATTAAAAACAGAAAACTGATGTGGGCGCTAAAACGTCCATAAGTGGCCGTTTTAGCGTCCATGCTTTACGTATGCTCAACTGCTTTTAACTGATTTCAACGCTAAAACGTTAAGGAATGACCGTTTTAGCGTCCAAACTTGGTGAATGCTCAACTAACTTTAACTGACTCCAACACTAAAATGTTTGATTTGGACGTTTTAGCGGTGAAGACCAGAATCTTTTTCCACTTTAGGGCGCTAAAACGCATATTGCAGGCCGTTTTAGCGCCCAAGACCAGCAATTTTCCATCTTCTTAGTGTAGCAGCGCGCTAAAACGCTCTGTGTGGACGTTTTAGCGCTCATCACCAGCAAGTTTTGGCCTCTTTCTGTAACAGTGCGCTAAAACGCTCAGTGTTGACGTTTTAGCGCTCAACACTTAGGCAATTTTTCTCCTCTTGAGCTCCAGAATCTTCTTCCTTCTCCAGTTGTCTTTCAAGCTTGCTTTTCCTACAAGAATCATACAAATTTCCAATAAAGCTCTTGAACTTGTAATTAAGGACATCTTAGGACATTAACCTTGTTTTTCATCATTTAATCACACAATTTGATCCTAATTCCTGCTAAAAACCATGATGAACTAAGGGTTCATCATAATTCCCAGATTTGAATATTGATGTCCTCAGCAATAACTTTAAAAACAGAGAAAGACTTGAGATTCTTTACACATGAAATTTATGAGGTTGGATTGAAATATGACAGATCAACTTTCCAAGATACAATCTAACAACCCAGCAATCTATCTTTTACTATGACTTGCTTAACCTCATTACAATGACTTTCAACAGATCAGTAAGATGAAATGCAGAGACCTTCAACACAAAACACCCCCTCACTTGGAACTTCTCAAAAATTGTGAGAATAAACTCTCTTGCATTCTAGTGTCTAAGGGTGTACTCATCACTCAATCTCCACTGCACTCAAACTACTATAAGCTTGCCCATCTTCTCACTTTCCATACTTACAGTGATTCATAAGCAGAGCAAAAGAGGCTTTGGTGGTATAACTTGACTAAGAATAGGATTCTGTATAGAAGAAGGAAAAATGGCTTGGCATGTAGTTGGCTAAAGGTAGGATTTGATGTTGCAGAAGGTTAGATAAATGGATCAGATTCAGATAAGAGGAGGATCACTATTGAATTTATCTATGTACACCTTTTCTACAACTTTTCTTTTTCTTGAACTTCCTTCCTCCTTTTCTTCCAACTTTCAACACTTTGTGTTGTTTTGATTTCCCTTTTTCCTCATTTCCTTTTTCTTTTCCTTTTCCAAACCAAGCACTTTGTCCCTTTACTTCCTCATTTTCCTTTTTTTTTATTGCATTCTTCTTTTTCTCCAAATTTCCAACACTTAACACTTAATATTTTTGTTCATTGCAGAAACACCTTTCCTACAGAGCCTTCCTCCTTACCCCTTATCTGAACACATAATCTGAAAATTTAGGATCTGGAATAAGTGCAGGGCTCTTAGTTTTATCACAAAAATTCTGGCTTAAGGCTTCCATGCAATAAGAAAATTTGGTTCAAAAGAAAAATGCCTCAATGAGCTCTACTTTACAAACCATGAACTATTTCAAGTTAGAAACAGGGCAAGTTCTAGAGTTACTCATACAGTGAAGTGCTCTCTGAACAAAAAAAAAAATTTTGTATAGGCTCAATGTCTCACAGTTCAGAGTGCATGCTTGAATTCCTCTATATACATCAACCTGATCTCTCTACTCCTCACATAACATGAGTCATGCAAACATATCATTTAGCACATATGCAGGGATTTCAAATTGCATCAAAAAATGTTTAATCCATCATGTAAAACTTTGATCATCCTATCCTCATAAAATTCACATCATCTCAACTCTAAATCCAACCTTTGTACATATAAAACACTTCCTAAACTACCTAAAACTATATTCACAAGAATTTTAAAAGAAAGGATTGAGATGTTTCCCTGTTTGTGGCTCATCAACTGTGTGTCATCATCAACTGTGTGATTCCACCATAATCATGTCATTCATTCACACCCCATTCCCAGATTTAAACGTTGCTGTCCCCAGCAACTAATTTAAATCTAAAAAGCAGTTGACAAATTCTGAAACACATACACATATCAACAAATAGCATCAGTACTATTTAAAAGTGCATCATTCAAACAGAGAATCTCAATGTACTAACAAATATACAAAATGAAAATAATACCACAATCAACTAAAAATATCCAAAATAAAACCATAAAACAGAAAATGTATAAAAACAAAATGAGAAGTCTAGTCAGTAGACTCTTCA